GGGCCTGGCGCTGCCGTGGCGGGGGGGATGCAGCCCTGCCGCCGCGCACCCAGTCCCCGCGGGTTGCCCAGGGGTTCCTCTTGGCTCCCCATCCCTCGTCTTTCCAGCCGTTCTCGTGCCTCCCTCTCGCACGTTGATTACCGGGAGGGTTTAGACAGCCGGATTTACTGTCGGCTCAACAGAGGGTGAAATGTTGCGGCGATGGGAAGCCGCAGCACACGGGGTTGGGGCCATTCTCCGGCGGTGCTGTGTGACAGCAGGGGTGGCGGGGAGCAGCGCCGCGCGTCCCCCCTCGGGAGAGGCGGCGTCGAGAATCGGCCGGGTGCTGCGTGGAAGTCGCACGAGGGCCGGCTCGCTCCTTGGCTGCTTTTGCTGATAATGACAACCTCTGCGCACCGGGCGGAGAGGCGGGGCCCCACGCCTCCGTTCATGTGCTGCCTTTTTTAGTGGTAACTCTTACCTTAAAGAAAGGCATCGCAAAGCCAAGAGTCGGTTTTCCCCGCCTCTTAAATTTTCGGTATTGCCTAGGTCAATGGTCCTCGTTAGCCCCCCCTATGCTAGTGAGGTAGCTGGGGCCGTTAAGTGAAGACTGAGGTTGTCCCCAATTCAGACGAGGAGGAGCTGCTGGCTACGGTGCCGGCGCTGTCCTTGTCTGGGGAAGGGGGATCGAACTGGGAGATGTTAAGTGCACATCTCATGTCCTGAATCACAAATGCGAGCTCCCAGCCCTTCATGCCTTTAATGCAATAAAAGCCGAGGCAGCTGTACACAAACCATTTGGCAGCGGCTCAGTGTTCGGGGTAGCTGGGACTCGATTAAATCTTTTATGTGCCATGTCTTGAGCAATATCCTACCAGCTGATGCCTGCCTTCTCCTTCGCAAATCTGGCAGCCTGACATAGAATTTTTCCTAATGGCTGTATTTAACCACTGCAGGCTCCCTTTGTGCGGCGAGGGACCGCATTATGCAGAAGGAGGACGAAGCAGTCTCTTCTTCCTGCGTTCTTGCGTGGCCTCGCGTTGTAGATCTGCTCAGAAATGGATGGAGAGGAATTTAAAAACCCACTCCGACTCGTTACCACGTAGATGTTTATATTCCTTCCCGGGAGCAGATGCACAAATGGAGAAGCACGGGAAAGGAGACACACGTGTCGGGGCGCTGGCGCTCGGGGGGGGCGGGGGGCATTTCTGTAACCGGGGGCTTTTTACGAAGGATTCCCACCCAAGGCAGCGGCCCCGAGCGGCCGGGGCAGCACCGAACACCAGTCCTGATGCTGGTTTGACTCACGCTAGATCCCTGCCAAGAGCTGTATTAACGTGATCACTAACTATTAATGGCCGTGGTAATGACAGCGGTGCAAGCAGGCGGCCCTGCCGCCCCGGCCTTCGGGAGGCCTGGCTGGAAGAAGGACGGTTCCATCGACGCCCACCTTGGTGTTTTATTCCAGAAACCAGAGAACAAAAACTTCCAGCGTGCCTGGCACTGGCATCGCTTTGTACGGAGGTGATGCCGTTCCAGTTCAGCAAACTGTTTATGGTGATTGCAGAGTACAAGAAGTTTGCATCATTTTCTCATTTATTGTACAAGGTTTCCATTTTCCCTGCGGAGAAAACCAGAAGCAAATGACACGAATATAACCCGTAATTCCTGTTCAGCTATTGCGACTCACAGTCTAAAAAGAAAAAAAAAAAGGAAAAAAAAAAAAAAAAAAAGTAGGAATTAATGAGCTTCTAGCCATAACGTGAAATGAGCTGACGTCGGGGAAGAAGGCTGCTCGGTGCCTGGCTGCTGCTCCCGGGCTTGGCTGGAGAGACGTTGCACAGCAGTGACCCTCTTTTAAAGGGATATTGTTCCGGCTTTTCTGCTTCAAGCGTTTCTGAAACACCAAGTTATTTCTGCCCGCTTTATTAAATGCGTGACGGGTTCGGTCTGCCCTAGGCAGGGGTCGGATCCTGCCGGCGCCTTGCACAGCGGCGCGCACCTCATCGTTATTGCCGCGTTTGCACAGAGCAGGGGTGGCACCTTATGGCGGTGTGTCGTGACCGGCCCCTGGCAGCCGCGGCCCGTGGGCTTTCGCACGCCTGCAGCACTGGTGGGGACC